GCAGGTGATGGCCTCGCTGTGCTCCGACGGGATGGAGTGCACATCCCATGGGTGCTCCGTGTCCAGGATGTGGATCATGCGTGTCAGGTCTGCGGGGCGGGCATGTCAGCACGGCCTCGGGGTGAGTGTCCCACCCGGCGAGGTCCCGTGGGGCTGTCCCCGGCGAGAGGAGAGGCCATGGCACCGCCAGGGTGGCCACGGCACGCCACTGACAGGCACAGAAAGCTGACTTGGGAGAAAAGGACCCAAGGTGCTCGGGCACCTCCGCTGGAGGAGCAGGGGTTCTCCTCATCCTCATCTCCCCCGAGTTCTGGTGACTTCCCAACTTTCTCTAAGGAGCGGCTGTGACCGGAACAACGGTCAGGCACGGCTGCCCTTGCGAGAGGGCTTCCACGAGTCACAGGCGGCATGTGGCCTGGACGTGGAGGGCGTGGCTCCAGCAGGCCCGGACCCCGCCCGGCCCAGGGACCCCGCCCCCAGCCGGTGTCACCTGGAGCCAGGCATGGGGGCGCAGAGTCTCCGCCCACCCCGCGGCGCTGGGACGCCCAGCACCCGACTTGGGACGATGGGGGGCACGTGGGACGGGGCTGGGGTCCCCACGGGGGGAGAGGCCGCACCCTGGTCGTCGCTGCGCAGGTCGGTGGTGAAGGCGATGAGGTTGCGGCAGGACCAGGCACAGGCCAGGGGCCCCGACGGGCAGTGGGTGCTCTTGGGCCACTTCTCCCACTCACACACGTACGCCAGGTCCATCGTGCCACCCCGGCAGCAGGCACGCCGAGCACGGTCACTGGCTCCCGGGGGAGGGCTGGCTCGTCACGGTGCCACTGAGCCGCAGGCCTGGGGAAGGCACGGTGCAGTGGAGGGGACGGCAGGGCCAGACCCAGAGGCGGGATGGGGCCCGGTGTGTCCCAGTGTGTCCGGCCCCCGCGTGGCCAGGAGGAGGCCGGACCAGGAGCCCTCTGGATTCCAACAGGACCCTCGGGCCGTTGGACTGACCATGGGGACCGAGGGGGCACAGGGCACAGCCAGGAGACGCGGCGGGGGATGGCCCCGGCCAGGCAAGCGGTGAGGGGCAGCAGGGGAAACTGAGTCCTCTTGGGAAGGAATAGCTCGTGGACAGACAAGCAGCTGGACGTGTGTGCCGGGGCCTCGGTGAGCACGACGGGGACGGCATGGGAACGTCCCCTCGGCGCTTCCAACGCCCTGGCATCGTCGGGGACCTTCCCAAGGGGCTGGCAACAGTCAGCCATTCGCCGTCGCTGCCCATAGGGCTGTTGGGCTTCTTCCAGACCCACGGCCCTCAGCTCCCCCGTTCCCCCCGGGGTCCAGCACCGCCCTCAACTCCCAGGCTCCAACAGGACCCCACACGCTCCCCAGGCCCCGCCCCCTTCACACCAAGCTCCAGCCACGCCCCAAACTCCCCTGGCCCCGCCCCGAGACCCCCAACCACGGGTGGCCTCACACCTCACCCCAAATTTCTACCTCAGTCCCGGGGGTCCGGGACACAGCACATTCTGCTGCAGACCCCGCCCCCGCGCGCCCCAAGCCGTCTACCGGACACCACCTCGGCTCCCAGACTCGCCTCTGACCCTGCAGGTCCCGCCCCCGACCCCACAGGCCCCGCCCCGACGCTAAAAGCCCCGCCCCCGCGCGCTCCAAGCCGCGTACCAGGCACCTTCGCTCCCAGACACGCCCCTAGCCCCGCCTCTGACCCCACAGACCCCGCCTCCGTCATGCCAGGCCCCGCCCCCGCGCGCTCCGGGCCGCTAGCCGCTACCTTGCGCTCCCGACACGCCCCCTGACCCCGTA